TTGCTTATGAGCTGTGTGGCCTGGTGTGACACTTCACCTCTCTCAGCATCGGTCTCTTTGTGTAAAATGGTAACAATGAGACCTACTATCAGGGTACTGTGAGGATTAAATGAGGCATGGCGTAGGCAGATATGGTGGCTACTGTTGATAAGCCTTCTGCTCATACACAAAGGATTCCTTCTTGCCCTTTCTTCCATGAGTTCATAGATGAGATTCCTTCGTATGTATCCCAGGACTCCAGGACCATCTTACAATTTTAGCCATCCATTGATCATACATGACCTTTATGTAAAGGTCATTTATATGGATCATTTTCCATGTGTCTGGATGAACAGACATCTTGTATAGTCAGTGTGTGTATTTGATAGGAAATAGCTTCTAGGGTTGGGGCAAAGACCAATAGTTTATGCTTTGCCTTTCTCTTAGCAAAATAGTTTTTTATATATGCATAATTTTCCCCTTAAATCTCTGATGAGATCAGTCTCAATTTACTATTGATTTTCTCTTGGTTAAGATTACTGTGGATGTATGATAATCGAAGATGAGGAGGCTCCAATTTCAATAACCCTCGATGACACCAAGCCAGATGGATCGCTGCCCGCTATCATGGGGTAGGTTAGAGCTGGGTGTCTTCATTTTCCAAATTGTGTTGGTGTATTGTTGTGGATGCTGACAAAGCATATTGTTTTGGAATCAAGCTCAAGCAATGATAAATAACCCTACAGAAATATATCATGTTTCCATGTATTAAAATATTAATGTTTTGTTTAGGGCACAAGAGCACTAGGAAGCTTCATTAAAATTGACACCTTGTGCCCATATATTTTTTTCCCCCATAAAGCTTAAATATTGAGGACAGCAAAAGAGGAAGTGAGACAGATGGTATGGTAGACAACCCTGCCTAGAGGCAGAATCTCCACAACCATTGTGGAATGAGAACTATTTTATCTTGTAAAATCTTCTAAAGTTAGGGTTTCTGGGCTTTATCCTTTTCTCCATTCCAAACATCATTGCATAGCAAATGTGAATATGTTAATTGTTACCCTGGGATATAAGATGGATGACCAATTAGATAGTGCAGTTTGAAGCAAAGCCAGGCCTCAAATGGATGGCACTTTTTCCAATAGATCACTTCATGTCTGTCCTTCACCAGCGATGGTCCAGGGTGAGGTTCTGTGTCTGGAAAAGGAGAGTACGTCCCTTCTTCTCACAATCCTGTACACAGCTGCCCTGCCCTTGGGGACTAGCAATCCAGAGAAGAAAGCAGGATTCCAACAAAGGAATTGCTCAGGAGTGCCGCAGCTACCCAGTTGCCATGCCCTTTAGCCCTCTTCAAAGCTATGCAAACAAAAGGGCTATTTATTCTACCACATGGCGACAAAAAAAGCACAGCTTTTATAGCAATCAAGTGACTTTTAGAAACCAGTGGTTTTCCCCTTAACCCCTGAGAGAGTTGAGCTCATACACATTGCATCATTGAAGGGAATTTACAAAATCAAAAGGAGCAGACCTATGATCTAAGGGACTTAGAAAACAGGCTGTGCTGCCAGACTGCGAACAAAACATTTTATAACCACTTCCCTGGCTGTAAAATATAATAAACAGAACCAGCCTCTCTGGGAAAGGCAGGTGCTCACAGCACAATGACCACAGGAACAGTATCCCTCTTCATCTGTAACCCCTCTGGGCAGGAAAGAATACAAATGATTTGTGCAGTTTACCATCACCTTCTATATGCCAAAGGAAAGTAGGAGGTGGTGGTAGAGTTTTTAGCTGGCTCAGTCAAGACCAGTTCAACTGTGGATAGAAGAACATTGGTATTCTCCTTGCCCTGGGAGTTAGATGTTGTAGCATCTGCCCTTCTGGTCTTTCTTCAGCTTTTTAAACAAGGACATGTGTGGCAGAAGCCTTCCAGATGCATATGGGGTTATTTAAGCAGTTTCTAAAAAGTGATATTCTGTCCATTTTTTGCTTTTGGTTTTATATCCCACATATGAGTGAAATCATATGGTTCTCAGGGAAGAGGGGAATATAAAAGGGTAAAAGGGGTCAAATATGTTGTGATGGAGGAGATTTGACTTTGGGTGGTGAACACACAATGCAATATACAGATAATGTATTATAGAATTATACACTTTAAATGTATAAAATTTTATTAACTGGGCTTTAACTAGCTCCTTTTGGAAACTAGAAAGGAACTTGTACTTTAGAACTGTGAAATGTTCCCAACCCAATACCAGTATGTTTAAGTTCCTCAATAAAATTTTATACATTTCAAGTATATAATTCTATAATACATTATCTGTATATTGCATTGTGTGTTCACCCCAATAAATGTAATGAAAAAAATAATAAATTAACAGCTTTAAAAAAGTGATATCCTCATCTGTTTTATCTGGACAATTGTCTCCACTCTGTTCTTGCCTTGAAACTATATTGCCTCCGCCCTGCTCTTTGCTCTGGGCAAGGAAAGCCTTGAAGATAGGGGTATTAATTGCCCAGTGCTGTGTTTATAGTAACTAGCTCCTTTTGGAAACTAGAAAGGAACTTGTACTTTAGAACTGTGAAATGTTCCCAACCCAATACCAGTATGTTTAATTTCCTCAATAAAACACTGAATAAACTTAAAGGATAGTAGTCTATAGTTAGAATTAGATCAAAGAAGTTATTTCATTCTTGACTTGAGATTCAAAAGAAATAGCCAACATTAGCTGCCCTTTAGAAAAGAACTATAAGAAGCACCCAATATCTGAAAAAGTGTTCAGGTAAATCATTTTAATCTTTCATTAGATATTGGCAATTTCCATTGAAATATTGCATCTAAAATTATTGATTCTTTCATAAACCTAAAATTTGACTAAAATCATTACTAGCAAGCCATAATATAAGGTGCTAAATCAAGCAAAATTATGACTGTATCTCATAAAGTTCAATAGTTCAAATTTCCTAAACAGCCACAACTTCCTCTGAAATACTATTCTCTAGATGAACACAAATACATTTTGCATCTTTGTTTCCCAGAATTATCTCGAATAACAGCTCCAAAAGAATTGCCAATCAAATTAAGAAACAGTTTAATTTGGGAGTGAGGGAGAGGACAGAATATCTGTTTTCAGCCCTTGCATTTTCATTCTTGACCTTGTCTTTTTTTGTCTAGAACAAAAGAAATACAATTTTTAAACTATTTTTTTTAAATAGAGAAATAATTTTATTGTCCTTAGCTCATTTGGATTTTTAAAAGCTTTCTAATAGTAAATAGTAGTATCATAACTAAGGACTTCTTGTCACAATTCAATTATTTAAAGTATATATGCTATTAGTAGTACCAGTATAATAAATAGAATCTATTTGATTAAATTCAGATTATAACTGAATTTTACTGAGTTACTAAATTTGGGAACTGTGCTAGTCAGTATCTCATGAAGCTAACTCAGAGATGGAGGTTTGGGTACAGGCGGTTAATTGGGGAGTGCTCTGGAGATCACTACCTATGGATAAGGAAAGGAATCAGGATTAGGCGGAGGGAGAGGTTGGGCTTTAATGTTGTCCCAATAGAGGCCTAAGCAATCCCACAGTGAGCTCTGTAGTTGGATAGTTCTGCATTATCCAACTTGGTACCCTGCACTGAGGCAAGAGGTGGGCCTTTGTACCCACATCACACCTCCCAGCCAGTCATTCTGTGGAGGTGAGAGAGGGACCTTGAATTAGTTCTCTGCTGCAGAGTGTGATTGCTGGGGAAGGGTTCACCTGTGAGCTGAGTGTAATTAGTGCTTGGTCCTGAAGAAGGGATCTGGGTGGCCCACCATGACATACACTTCAGGTACTTATTTATATTTGTTTTTTCAGCTTTTATCAAGTATTTGGCTGAAGGCAACAATCATTATCAGGATAATCATTTAATACAACATTAATTAATCCGATATTTAATTTCTTACTGTATGCCAAGAACTATGCTAAACTTTGGGGGTAAAATATTGAGTAAGAGGTCCCCTGTCATTTAGGAGCCCACAACCTAGCAGGGCTTTTGGACAGAGGCAGACTGAAGGCAGCGTGGTATTTGCTCTAGTTGAGGGAAATAATAGCAGGGTGTGGAAGTTTTCATTAATGCTGAGTAGGTAGAAACAAGAACACTTCAAAAGGAAGAGGCAACTTTTAAGATAAACTGCTGTCACCTAATCATTCAAATGTAACTTCTCTTTCTAGCTTCATACTTGCTCGAAAAGCTGTCCAACTTTCTAAACTCCATGAAGATATAAGGTAAGAATTTACTTGTGAAACATATGTAACAGGTTAGTTTTATATTGTGTATGTTGCACTTACAATATAATAGCATTATGAAAAACACAATAATTCACAATAATAGCCTCAAAATCCCAACAAATCAATATATTTTTAAACATTTTATTTTTTTTATTTCCCCCTTCCCTTTCCCTTCTGGTAACTACTAGTCCATTGTCCATATCCATAAGTCTCTGTTTGTTTGTCCTGTTCATTTGTTGCTTTTAGGTTTATATCTTACATATGTGATATCATGTGATTTTCAACCTTTTCTGTTTGGCTTATTTCCCTTAGTATGATTACTTCAAGGTCCCTCCATGTTATTGCAAATAGCAGTATTTCATCTCTTCTTATGGCTGAGTAATATTTCATTGTATATATGTACCACAGCTTCATTAGCCAATTATCTATTGTAGGATACTTTGGTTGCTTCCATGTTCTGGCCACTGTGAATAATGCTGCTATGAACATTCGTGTGCAAATATCTGTTCAAATATGAGTTTTCTAAACTTTGGGGTAAATACCCAGTAGAGGGATTGTTGGATCATATGGTAAGTCAATTTTTAGTTTTTTGAGGAACCTCCATACTGCTTTCCATAGTGACCGTACCAATTTGCAGTCCCACCAGCAGTGTATGAGGGTTCCTTTTTCTCCACATCCTCTCCAACATTTGTTATTACTTGTCCTCTTGATTATACCTATTCTAACAGGTACAAGATGATATCTCATTGTGGTTTTGATTTGCATTT